TAACTACAATGAAATAAAATCTATCATAAAAATGGTACGCAAATATTATAATCAGAAGGCAAATACATAGCTGCAAATTAATAAAAAATATTGACTTTTTACCGTCCTCATGTCAATCTCATTAATCAATAATCTAGACTTGCAATTTAATGTGTTGAATTATTTTTAAAACCTATGAATTGTAAAATTATATTCCACTATAGACCGTTTCACATAGAATGGATACGATGATATTCGTTAGCAAATTTGTTAACAGTTGATGAATAAATATTATTCTCATATCCTGTTTTATTGGATATTCGCCAAAGAACTAGAGTGATCGACATAGCTCGCAAAGTTTGTAAGCTGAAGTGGCAGTGACAGGCCACATCGCTCGACGAACCGATAACCGATGGGGACGAAAGGTTCTCGAGTGGAGACTACGAATCGGAAGACGCAGCGTGGGTCGACCCCCGACTAGATGGACGGACGACATCGTCCGAGTCGCGGGCGGCCACTGGATGCAGCTGGCGCAATGTCGTCCGTCGTGGCGTTCAAAGGGGGAGGCCTATGTTCAGCAGTGGACGTCTTCCGGCTGATGATGATGATGATGATGATCCTGTTTTATATGTTGACCTCAAAACCGTTTATCTCTATTAGAAATAAACTCAATAACATCGAGTTTTTGTATCTAAAAACTTCAAACCCCATACGTCACCGTACCTATGCTATGTGAATAAGACACCGTCACTTTTTTTCAAAATTTCCCCATTTTTTGGGTAAATGTAAACCTCGCGTGTGTAAATTTGGCGAATGACAATTATTAATTTCGTCGACTTGAAAATTGTGATTCATATATAAACGTTTCTCGCTATCAAATTGTGAAAAATGGTTCAGGAATGTGTAGTCCTAGGTTGTGGAAGCAAATGGCATCCTGGATGTTCTTTGATATTTCACAGGTGAGTCGTAAGTTACTATAATTGATGACTGCTTGCATTTTATAAAAATATTGTTTTTAACGTAGAATCCTTAAATTTTTTATCATTTACAATAATATGGTATCTAAAGTAATATATGATTTTATTGCTTACATTTATATTTCAGAAATTTTATATTAAAAGCACAGTTCACATTGTAAAATAAAAATAAACAAACACTAATATGGTGACCTTGAAAAGAAGATAAAGGATAACTTAATATTTTTTATTTCATTTTTAGTTTTCTCAAGGATCCAATAAGGAGACGTCAATGGCTATCGAGTGTCAAATAAAAAAATAAGTTTTATAAAACTGCAAAAATATGCAGTAATCATTTTGTGGCTACTGATTATATAATAGAGAATCGGTTAAAGCATACAATTCCTTTTTATTCCGATGTGGTAAGTAAAAGTTTATATTCTACTAATTAGGTACTAATTCTTAGGTAGCAAAAATAGAATACAAACTTCCGAGTAAGAACGCGAACTTGTGGCTCGACGTAATTTTTAAGTACGCGTATTTAAGATGACACACAAGCGAAAAAGGTCGTCGAGTCACAAGTTTACGCTTAAAAGGAATAAAATATTTTTATTTTACTTAATGTAATATGTCATGAAAAAATGGTCTCGAAATATCTTAATTCTCTGATGGCAGGGTTTAGACAAAATAACCATAATTCGTTTTTTTTTCAGTCGGGGCAATCTGACCTAAAAAGTGATGCATTTACACCTTCCACATCTCGTCGTGGGTTGTCCGATAGACTTGCTATGGTAACAATCAAATAGTATTTATTGTAATTAAAACTACTTTTTTAGTCACATATAAATTTTAAAAATAACATCTGAGAATGTAAAAGAAGAATGTGATATGTAAATCAGTAAATTGACTTAAGGGTAAAATATTTACTGGGTGCTTATTCCATTTCAATTCGGTCGGAAGGAAGGTAAGCTGACAATCGTAGTCTGCAGTCTTGTAGTTCACTTTGCACATTAGATTTTCTCCGTGCTTTGGAAGACACGTTAAGCAGTTTGTCCCGATTGCATCTGCAGTTGTAAATATCCTCCAATCCGGAATGGACCCATTGTGGGTACATTAATAGGCTAGTGATGATTAAGTAGTTTTTTGCCAACTCTAATTCCCACACTGCTTAGTTTTGATCAAACTCAAAAATTGATATTTTTTTATTTGAGAACCTCCTAACGCGACACAAAGAATTCAATTGTTTATAGTTTTTTTTTTTAGTTTATCTACTATTGAAATGAAATGAAAATGTCTTTATTCAAGTAAGCTTGTTTCAAGCACTTTTGAATCGTCCAAAAAATTTTTTGCTCTACCACTCGTTCATCGTCTCGGACGTCTTTTAGCTGACAAGAAGAACAAGCGAAAGAAACTTACCAGCTCTTTATCATAAGTACTGACATTTATATAAATCATGTCATTACCATAATATTACGTATTATAACAATAATAAATACAATTTTCGTAGTTTGTAGGACATAGGTTGATATGTGCATATAATTCCATGCATTGCGGTCCTTAAATAATCATCAACTTTATAATATCCTTTACTCATAAGTATGTTTTTTATATGAATTTTAAATTTATTCATGGGTACGGTACGATTACATTTTGTTGAACTTTATTGAACATAGCAATGCATTAACATATAATACATAGGTTATGTAAATACTCAGTACTCAATAAGTTTAGTTTCCATATAAATGTGAAAGTTTCTTGGTTTAGATGTTTGTCCATCAATCACGCCAAAACTACTGAACGGATTTTGATGCAATTTGGTGTACAGCAGATAGGGTATTAGCTGACTTGATAATAGGATACTGTTCATCCCACCAAATAGTTCCTTAGGGAAGGACCACGAGGGCGAAGCCGCTGGCGGCAAGCTAGTATTTATTAATTACTTCTCTGTAAATTATATATCATATTGTATTTCTTAAACTTTACTTTTTAAGTATATATTCTTGTCTTTTAAATATTCCGATATATAACAATAGCTCTTATTAATGAGTAAGGAGGAAGTATTTTAATAAATATTAATTCCCGAAATCAAACTAGATGTCGCCACGGTACGTTCTTGATTTCTCCATGACAACCTTTCCGGTTTTCTTTCATGTTTACAAGTAAATTAGTTTTCAAAACTCAATAAACAACTCATATTCTATTTGTACTTTTTCGTATTTGTATTAATGTTAGAAAATCAAACATCAATCAAAGAGGGAATGAACAAGGGCTTGCACGAGAGCCATAACCTTAATACTGGACGGGAGAAAATTATTAAATCAATATTATCGGTTTATATTATCTTAGTTAAAATTATAAGAATTTAAATGAGTTGGTGTCAAGGGCGGGTCCAAAGGAGGAGAGATCCATGGGGCTAATCATTCCACTGGAATGTCTTCACCTAGGTAGACCACTAATTAAAATCGTCAAGTACTATTTTTATATATTATGCTATAGCTACAGTACTTATTAGTGTATCGACCGACAGCGGAGGGATTACAAAAAACCAAATCAAAGCTAAGATGCTTCAATGGTTTAAGAGCGTCAAATTGGACTGGAACTTCTCCACATCCATAAAATTAAGTAGATGAATAAATAAGTACCTTCAATTATTACTTTTTGTGACCTGATCACAACTATATAACCCCCGTCCCTGGCGCCAAAGCTAAGTTCGTCTTTGATTGGCATATATTCCTAAGCCCTAACATAGCAAATTTCAATTTTGAAAATACATGGTATGAAATGATTTTATGAAAGAAAGACTCAAGGGGAGTCACTCACTACACACAAAATGACTTGAGCATGATTGATTGACTTATTTTTATACATTCTCGTTAAATATCGCCCCTCACTACTCCCTCCCCTCTCTAAGACAAAAGGACAATTCAATTCTTTCTGTGTGATAGTCGTTTTTAAGGGTAAAACGCTAATAGGGGAACCATACTACTACGACCGTCTGTCAACAGCATGAATTTCATGAACCGTGAAAGTTTGACAGCTAAAATCACAGTATTTCTGTTGCCGCTTCAACAACAAAAACTAAAAAAATAGTATTAATTTAATATTTAAGTACACATTTGTACTTAAATATTAATTACACATTTGATCTTTTATCCTGTTTGTACTGTACACTTTATTCGTGGTCTGACGAGCGAGCCTAGTCTGGTTCAGTGTAGGAGTACTATTATTCTATGAGTCTAAAATTCTAAAGTTTAGAAGATAATTACTCGTGGCGCTAACTGTCAATGATATGCGAGATATGTTAACAACTATAAAATACGGAGTTTTATCTGTGAAGACAGTGTGTTCTCATTTTAATATCGTTCAGGGGTGAAACTCTTTTCTAATTATATCTATAGGATACGACATCTTATGGATATATTCCGTTTGACTACTTTGACATGTACTTAAGTAACGACGAGCATACGATAAATAATGATGATTATGGATTTGCTAACAGTCATTAATCACAAATTAATCCACCAAAATACATGTAAAATTATTAGGATAAAACGAAATATAACTCATAAAATCGCCTAAGATTTCTTATCCTATGGCTAGAATAGGGATGATGACTGGGTAAAAAAAATGCAATTCTATTTAGTCCGTCAGTCAGATAATAGAAAAATATTAGATACGTATTTTTTTTTTTACTTCAATTTAGCATGAAATAGCTTAGATAACAGGCATTAAAGTTGAGTGGGGGCTCTCTACGTCACAGTTGAGTAGAAAACGTACCATAACGTGACGTCATGCGAAATTTTAACTCCATGTAACGCCGTAATTTTATGATTACGAAAAAAATTAAAAAATACGTGTTTAATATTTTTTAACACTCTACCTGACGGACAAACAAACAAAAATTAGTCATCATCCCTATTAGATGGATCGCTACTTTGTTATATCGAATTACAATAACACAAGGACTTTAGGATTGAACTAATGTGTGTATTATATTTATTAATATTGTTTGATTTAAGATAGAGTGCGATCATTGAAACAAATTCTATATTCTTATTTTTTATTACATAATGCATAACGTACAATACAATAATATAAAAATACACATCTATTATTATGAAATAATAATATTTTATACTACTAAGGAATATATAAAAATCACTAATTTTATATTGGCACAATATTTACAGTGCATGTTCTCATAAAAAAATGTCCAGCATAAATCATAATTGAAAAATCTTGTAGAAAGTTTAAAATATAGTTTTCATATTTGTTCATATTTTAATTCATGTGAAAAATCAAAAAGATAACTTTAAGAACCTATATAATTTTAAATCATAGTAACAACCTTTAGAAAAAAAAACGTATGGGTTTAAAATGGCAACGTTTAAAATACTTATTCAGCTTATCATAAAAAAACACGAAAATCATTTTACATTTCATTAAAACTAAGACTCATTTTTTGACTAAAATTCGTGTTGTTAATCGATATCAATCTTATTATTATCGATTTAATATATAAATAAATTGATAGTTAAATGTTAATTTTAAATATGGAATGTGGTGAATTTTAATAAATAAATACTTTTATTTTCTAGACTATAGTTCACTTTTTCCCACCAAGTGATTCAAAAAAGTTGACGAATTTATTAACTCCTATGTTCTTCGGAAGATCGTCCTCTGGTGGATCATTCGCTCTAATAACGTCTTTCGGCGTACCATTCGGTTGTTGTACCATTTTGATTTCATTGGAAGTTCTAGGCTTTTTAACTTCGTTCCCATTGCCGTTAATAATATTAACAGGCTCCGGTTCCGATTTGGTTATAGGTTCAGTCGGTACCTCTTCTTTGACAAAACCGTTATTATCAGTCACCTCCACAAGTGTAGTTTCCTGAACAACTTCAATTTGGTCTATTACTTCTTCGGTTTGAGATGGTTCAGGTTCAGCAGGCGTTTCAACGATTTGTACCGGAGATACTACCTCAGGGGTCGGTTCTGACTCCGGAGTTGTTTCATCGTGGAATGCCGCAGGGGTCTGTTCTGGAACCGGAACTATTTTATCAGATTTTCTCACCACTTCCTCTGTGATCGCCTTCGGTTGTTCCCAGATTCTGAAGTATTTACTGTAAACTTCATCCCAGAAGTCCATTTTTTCTTTGTCGGGATTGGAGCCTAAGGAGAGTTCGGAACCTAAATTGAGGTAGTATAAATTATCTCGAGTAACAGGCAACCAGGTCACTGTTAAATAGTAGTTCTCTTCTGGAGTAGGGTTTCTGGAAAAAAGAAGTAATATAATCTATAAAATAACAGAGTACCAAAATTTAACAAAATAAGTCTAACGTAGCATTCTATTTATATTATTTTACTACTATCAACATCGTACTTATAACCTAGGATATTTCCTACTGTATGTTAATTAACATCAAATATATATGATTTTTGAAATAAATTTTAGATAATTAATTATATTTTAAAAAATTATCAAAACTTTTCTAAATTTATTAATCTCTTAATAAAAAAGAAAACAATGGTGTAAGTCCTATTTATATGACATTTTTATTAATTTCCCATCAGCATTCAGCCGATATCAATTTTTAACGACGTAAAGCGTAGGAAAAAAATGTGCAACGATATTTTATATTGTAGGCAAACTTAAATAACACAAGAACTCACCCAGACTTCGCGAAGTTGGTCCACATTCGCACCATTCTCTCCCTCATCTTCAAATCCTGTGGTGTCGGCTCCACGTCTTTCATTATTTCGTTTTTGAACAAATATCCGAGCTCGTCCATATGACCCGCGTGATGCAAACCCAAGCTCGACAACAATTTCTTACTCCAATTCAATTCACCAACATAATCAAATTTATAGTAATATATAGGCTTATTAGAAACCTGGACTAGATATTTAACATGCCTATGTGTATGTATATTTATCATTGTATCAGATAGCAACTCGAAATATTCATTCAGACTCTCCACACCAGTGTGACTGCCTTTAAAATATAAAGATTTGATTTTATCTGCTATTTCGAGGGACTGTTCTGAATTTCTTTCTATATGCAACTCTTCTGGTATCAAATCTTGTAAATCATCCGATTTCCTCTCCAGTGTCAACTCTAAAGTGGTCGATCCTATCATAATAGGTATATTGGCCACTCTTCCCGATGTTAGTATATCAGAAAATGACTCTGTTATAACTGATTCGACACCAGGGAACTCCTTTTCTATCGTAGCTCCGAAATTTAATCCTTCATTCGATAATTTCTCGGTTGCTTCGACTAGTTCTCGGGCCGACGTAGCATTTAAAAACTCCAAAATGTCATCGACATCTTCAGCTTCACCGCCTAGTTGTTGGACTAATCTCCTAGCGTTACTTATAGGACTTTTTTGGAATACAGAATTGTCGATTGCCGTTCCGGACTGTATAATCGCTTTGCTAATCAAAACTTTTGCCGTGTGCGAAGCCGTGAGTATAGCTGTAGCTACACCACCGCTGCTTTCGCCGAAAACAGTTAGATTACCAGAATTTCCGCCGAAGTTATGTATGTTTTCTTTTACCCATCGTATCGCTTGCACGATGTCTTTCAAACCGGCATTTCCTGGTACTTCAGGAGTGTTGAGACTTAGAAAACCTAATGCTCCTAACCTGTGATTGATTGTGACTACTACCACGTCTTTTTCTACGAGGAAATCGCCGCCATATAAAGAGGCACTGCCGGAACCGTTTTTGAAACCACCCCCATGAATGTATATCATTACAGGTAAGAATGCACCGTCTAAGTTAGGCGTGTATATGTTGAGGTATAGGCAGTTCTCATCACCGATGAATTCTTTGGTGAGAATCGGATCGATTTGAGGGCAAACGTTGCCCTCAGACGTTGCGTCTCGTACGCCATCCCAGGGATCGGCCGGTTCTGGGGCCTGAAAATTTAAAATATAACAGATTTATATGAAGGCAGGTGATTCGAGTATTATGTTTACATATGAGACACAGTTTTAGATTAAATTTTTTACAATCCAGCGTAGTCAAGAGTCATATAAGTAAATGTGCATGTCATTGAAGTAAACAAGCAGGTATGCCATCTAAGTAATTAAAAATCGTTGCCGCTGTAACTCAAAATAAAACTTTTATGTAATAATAAAATAGCAATTTGTATACCTAAGACTAGAAACTTCTGTTGAAGTTGGTCGGAGGTTTTGTGTAGATCATTAACATTAACCGCCCAAAGGTGTGTATTTTTAATTGGGTAAGCGCAAAAATTGTGTCATAATAAGCGATGTTATTGTAATGTCATTGATGTGCCAAAATTAAACTAACGTTGGCCGAGTTGAGGTCCTAGGTCATCCTATTTTTTACCGCTGACGTCATCATCATCAGTCTATCAACGTCCCCAGTGCTGGAGCACAGGTCTTTCCTATAGAATCGAATAAGAAGAATAGACGACACACAACGCGGGTCTAGTGTGGTTTGGTGGGAGTTAACGCCTGCAGATGCAGCCAGGACCAACGGCTTAAGCACTCAAGAGCTCGAGACAAGCAATTTTTGATCACCAGAAATGATGTAAACATTTGTAATGGACTATTTCTTTTAGATAAAATAAATATCTGTACCAGAAATAGTCCGCTCTTCCATAATACATTTGATATTTCGTTTATTACAATTGTCTTCACTTATTACATAGTACTCGCCTTGGTAAAGAAAAAAAAAAAAACAAATACAAACAAATAAAATAAAATTAAAGCATGCAAATGAGTGTGTGCGCATGCCAGTTTGAATATGTATATGCATAGTATGACACGTAAACACTGGCATACTTATGTTTGCCTTTGTGTGTGTGTGTGTGTGTGTGTGTGTGTGTGTGTGTGTGTGTGTGTGTGTGTGTGTGTGTGTGTGTGTGTGTGTGTGTGGGTGTGTGTGTGTGTGTGTGTTTGGGTGAATTATCGCTTTGAGTGGTAAAATCAGTGTAAATTAGTGTTTAGTCTATTAAATTTATTGCAGTAGATTTTCAACATGATTATAATTTAAAGATTTGAGAAATTTAATTAGATTTTTTTTAGTATTATATGAAGTCAATGTGTATATATTAATTATATTATTTATTTTATTGTATAAGTGTGTAGATAACTTTTCAAATTGACGACTTGCAAATACTGTATTTACCGGCTTTGCACGAACAACTACATTTTTATTCCTTTTGTTTTGTTTTTCAGGGATATAAGTCAATAATTTATGTTTTTTTAAAATCGCGTGTAATATAAAAAGTTTTCTCACTGATAGGACATCACACAACGTATACAGTTCCTCTGTAGGGAATCTGCGCTGTTTAAAATACATCACTTTAAGAAGGGACCTTTGAGACCTTTCTAATGCTAAGAATTTTGTTTTAGTAGCTCCACCCCAAACAGCAATGCAGTACGTCAGTACGGACTGCACTAATTGGATATAGATTATATTCAAGAGATTCTTTTCTGAATTTTTATTTTGAGTAGATTGTGAGACTACAGAAGTAGGAACCACATGCCTTAGGCTTTTAAATATCCATATAAATTTTCTAACCCTACTTGAAATTTGTTCAATTTGATTATGCCATGATAAATTTTCATCTATTATGATTCCAAGGTATCTTGTATTGCTAACCTTTGTGATTTTGGAACATGTACAAATTCTATTATTATTATATTTACCATTATTGTTATTTTTATTATCATTATCATATACATTATTATTGCATCTATGTATTGTAATATTAAAATCGCTTTTTGGTTGTGTTCTGTTCCTAAGGGTAAAGCAAATATAATTTGTTTTTTTAGTATTTAAGGTGAGCAAATTACTGTCAAGCCAACAAGCGATCCTTTTCATTCCCATTTCTACTTCGATACGTAAGGTATCCCAGGAAGAACCTTCAAAGACTACTGCAGTATCATCTGCATAGGAAAATATGTGAGCATTATTTATTTTCATGTTACACAGGTCATTAATGTAAATTAAGAACAGCGTAGGTCCCAGTACACTGCCTTGCGGAACACCATATTCAACTATCTTATTAGTGCTCACATACTCCTCTACCCTCACCTGCTGAGACCTATCCAAAAGGTAATCCCCGAGCAGCGCTAAAGGTAAACCTCTTATTCCAAGTTTCTCTAGTTTAGTCATCAGGGTCGGGATGGATACGGTATCAAAAGCTTTTTTTAGATCAATGAATACAGTTAAACATTTTTTTCGTTTATCAAGTATATTAACGATTAAGGAACTTAATGCAATCACCGCATCTTCTGTCGATTTACCCTTTCTAAACCCATACTGTGATGGAGATAATAGATTAAATCTGTCAAGATATTTCATAAGCCTAGTGTTTATTAGCTTTTCCAGTATTTTTGATATAGATGTTAAGACTGAAATTGGCCGATAGTTATTTATATCATCACCGTCCCCTCCTTTGTGGATTGGTGTTACTATCGATTGTTTCAGCAAAACCGGAAAAACACCATTTCTGAAGCAAGTGTTAGCTAGATGGGTGATAATTGGTACTACCTCGTCCTTTGCAAGCTTAAGATATCTTGTTGAAATCTTATCCCATCCCGAGGCACTATCAGTTTTTAAACTTATCAATATAGAGCGAACTTCATCGCAGTCTGTATCAAACATTACAAAAGACTGTGAATGCTCGAAATTTGAAATTTCGTAATTTTTTGAATTTTCTACATTACCCTTATTTAGAATATCGTTTGCCAATTGTTTACCAATTCCAGTAAAAAAGTCATTTATATAATTGACAGAATTTTGTGGACAAGATTTCAACATTAATAACTCTTTAGTTTCATTTTTGTTTTTTTGTGTATAGGTAATATTCTTAATGCTATTCCACAGACTTTTTGTACTATTACCAGTCAGCGATAACTGTTCCCTCTCATATTTGCGTTTTAATTTCTTAATCAAGTTGTTACAGAAGTTACGATAACGTTTATAACTAATATTAAGTATTTCATTATATTTTTCAATCCGTACCTGTTTTTGTAACTTATTGCGATGCTTAATACATCGCAATATACCTGGCGTGATCCATGGTTTAATCGTACGCTTTGATTTGGGTATGTTTACTGTTATGGTATTTTCATCTAAAGATTCTTTTAATTTATTTATTAATAGCTGAGTTATTACGTTCGGGTCATTGCATAAAAGTATCTCGCAGTTATTTTTTTCTTTTAACGTAGTAAGGGCTTTTTCAAAATTAATAACAGTTTTTGTTTTGGGGCGCGTAAACTTATTTTTTAATTTTGAGAGTTTTAAAAAGGTAGTGAAATGATCAGTGATTGAGGTGTATAGTATTGCAATTGAGGCAGATAATTTTTTTCTATCTATTTTTAAACTAAAGTGGTCAAGACAACTATTTCCCCGAGTAGGTAAGTTGTGACCGGGTAATAATCCATGTAATGCTAATATATTTAAATAATTCTGTCTATTATTCTGTTCGTATGTGCTTTCGTTTTCTTTTAGTATAGTGTTTATGTTAATGTCGCCAGCTATTATTATACTTTTATGCGATTTCAAACTAACAAGGTGATCGTCCAGATGTTGCAAAAATATATCTGCATTTTTGTTAGACGGTGATCGATAAATACATAATATAACGTAACCCAAAATACTCAACTGTAGGCATGACGCGTGTTTTAATTGAATTTCCCTGACATTTGATATTATAGATTTTTTTATGTAAACTACGATACCATCGTTTTGATTTAAATGATAAAACCTCACTTTCAATCATCAAACTATTTATTCACTAATTTGCATACATCACACATAGCTATCAATAATCACAACACTTTATTTTATAATTTACACTAGTTGTCACAGCGCGAGCGGAACTAAGACTGCCATGCTTAGGTCGGTTGCTTGCTTATATAGTCGCCATCTTGCACGTGAACGTCATTGTGCGCCGCAAGATGGCGTCACCGGCGTCAACTTCCGGTCGATTAATGTTGATTTCATTAAGTTGCCAACACGGCCATTCTGCAAGGCGTTTGCCCCAGACGCCACAATTTTATGGAATATACTGAAACTGATAATATGAAATTAAATATGAAATAATGTAAATGTCACACGTATAATGTTCAGTCTTCTTAACATGTTCACATACTGATCGCAAACAGAATATTTTGAAACTGAAGACCACTTGCACTTAAAGGGAATTTACCACACTTAAGAGACCAAGTTCGTCTTTGTTTCCGTGACGACTAAACTGAAGACCACTTGCACTTAAAGGGAATTTACCACACTTAAGGGACCAAGTTAGTCTTAGTTTTTGCAACCACTCGCACTCAAAGGGCAATAACCTCACTTAAGCATACCGAGTTGGTTCAACACGTCCTACCTCACTTATATACGAGTCAGTATGTTTACACGCATGAACTATATTTAGGTAACTTATTTATTTACCTTGGAATACCGACGGTTTTAGGTATTTTTAATTTCTATTTATTAAAATAACAAGTCAGTTACAGGAAATATTTAAAAGTTATATGTTATTATTAGTAGTTTAACATATACTTAATAAAGGTGTAAGGTAATGCGGTCATATTGTTACTAATATCACACATAAGTAACTGTTTCCACATTTGTTTGTCTGTTAGAAAACTACTTGCACTTAAAGGGACTCTGCCGCACTTAAGAGACCAAGTTAGTCTTCCACCCTGCACAATAGAGCCACTTGCACTCAAAGGGATATACCCACTTGAGCGTACCAAGTTCACTCACAATTATGCCTATGTACCTTTCAATATGTTTACAACAATTATTAATGTGTGACATAAATATAAGTTAAAGCATTTTATCTTGACTCGCAAACCTTACGTGTATACTCGTATTACTTTATAAACCAAATTGTTATGCCTGATGTAATATTTTACTTGTATACATAATTTTTTTTTTTTTATGTGTTCTATTTTTAATAAACTATGAATTAGGTAAGATACCAAAAACAGTATATTAAGGTGTTTACCTTGCCAACACGAATATCTATTATATACATAATATAATCACGTAATTATTCAGATTCATTCCAGTTGTCTATTTTAATCCACGGCTTCATATTTTCAGCCCGCTATCACGCCAGTATACTTTTTAAAGGATCTTTCACTTCCTTTAAGATCCGTTACCTCATATCTGTCATTTCCCACAAGTTTTTTGACTTTGAATGGACCCAAGTGGTTCTAAATGAAGTGTATGAAAAGGTTGAGCATATTTTGGCATTGGAAATAATTCGCCTTCCTTGGCTCCCCCTTTGTTTTTGAAGTATATACAATTTAAACAATTTTTTATGTACTTTTTTATAATACGACGCATGTGGGGAAACCAGTAAAACTTTGATATTCTTTCTACAGTTTTGTCTACAGAAAAATGTCCAATGTCATCATGGTTGTATTTAATTATTTGCCAAATACATTTTTTTGGTACCGACCATCGACGACCCTTTGCTGTTCTTCTGTAAACTTTTGACCCAAGCAATTCGTATTTGTCAAAAAACATCTCTATTTGGGTCGGCCTCTCCCGATTCTAAAATTGATTTTAATTGTTGAATTTTAGAGTCTTGTGTTTGCACTAACAGCAACCAATCTGCTTCAGTAATGGACATAATGATTTCAACTTCAGACTTTTCCCCCCGAAACTACAGGATTTCGACTTAATGCATCAACATGCAGCATACGTGTACCTGCTCTATGGACAATCTATCTATCTATATATATAAAAATGAATCGCAAAATGTGTTGGTAAGCGCATAACTCAACAACGCCTCGACCAATTTGGCCAAATCTTTTTTTAAAATGTTCGTTGAAGTTCAAGGATGGTTTTTACGGCGAGAAAAATTAGAATTATTGCTGGAAAAACCCTAAAAATAGCCCTTTTCTTTTTCCCATACAAATGATTTGTAACTAAAACGTAGTCAATTTGAGCTTTATTGCTATGGTATAAAGTTCATATTAAATTACAAGCACTCACTGTTGTCTAAGCAATGTAGGTGTGTTCCTAACGTCAAAGATCATATCTATCAAAACAATGTGCGTGTGTGCGTTGGAGCACAGAATACATAGTTGGAGGAGTTTAATGTCGCGTTCCGAAACTCGCGTTTCTTTTGTATTAGTTTCGGCACGCAGAATTTTTTTAAATACGTAGGCAAAAAAAACTGCCACATTACAAATCTTTTTGACAGGACGAAGTCTGTCGGGTCAGCTAGTTTCAAATAAAAATTCTTGTGTAGCTAATACCCATCGAGCTATGCGTGGGACAATATTTTTTTTTTTAGTGAGCGCATATCGTACAGCACTGCAGTCAGTTATGATTTTAAAATTTGAACCTAACAGATATAGGCGGAATTTTTGGAGCGAACAAATAATTGCCAACAGTTCTAATTCAAATGAATGGTATAATTTTTCATTTTCGGTAGTTTGCCTACTATAATAATGGACTGGTTTTTCTCCCTCATTTGTAATTTGCATAAGTATTCCTGCAATACCCTCTCGACTAGCATCAGTGTATAAAACACTATCTCTATTGGGATCAAAAATAGACAGGAAATTATCTGATGTTAATTTATTTTTTAACGATTGAAATGTCTCTTCTTGTTTGTCTTCCCAAGCCCAGGTAGTATCCTTCTTTAACAGTTTTGTCAAAGGCACCAAAATCATTGCGCAATTTTTAATAAATTTCCGAAAATAGCTTATTAGACCAATGAACTGTCGAAGTTGGTGTACTGTTTTGGGTCTTGGAAACTGCCTAACTGATTCTAATTTCGCTTCATTTGGCATAATTTTCCCACAAACATATTGTAATTAGTTAATTGCGGGATGGGTTTCTCCGGAGAAAGGCGACACTCGGTGAGAAGTATAACATCAGGGTCAAACCTCAAGCAAGGCAACAACAGTGAAAAATCGTCGAAATTGCAATATATGCTGCGAATATTTTGGGAAATCAAAGTAAAATCATGTTTGTCAATACATATATTATTTGAAAGTTCACTCACATCACACTGCACAGAGTGAGCTATCTCATAATGATCTATATCATTTATAATTGTATTGGTGTTATTCATTAATAAGATTAAGGTATGCAGTTTTCATTCTAAGCATACGACAATACACGTAAATAAAAAACAGGCCCTCTCTTATTTTCCCAAAGCAATATGGTAATATATTTTTAAAGTGTATGTACTTTCGACGCAATGTATGGAAAACATGAGAGTTGTGTATTCTATATGTTACTACAAAGCATGTACTAAATAAGTGTGGGGTATATATACGAATAATAATAAATGTTGCATACAATGTAGCATGATATGTGTGAGTGAAATGCTTCCTTTTGTAATATTGTACCGCAGAAGCAAATGACCACAGTATATTGTCTGAACAGCGCTTATCAATATAGGCGGAGTATATTGTACCATTTACAATAATATTTCCCATATATAAAACATATCTTATACCAAAACAGTATATTCCAATGTAATTCAGAACAACACACAAACTTAGTTCATTTATATCACATTTAGAATAGATACACTCTGTAATATCTAAAAGTACCCTCTTTTCTTTAATTTTTAATATTAACTTTATTATTTTGCAAATAATTACAGAATCGTAATAGTAGGGCGAGACGTTTTTTATTAATAAAATAGAACGTTTGTTGTATTTTCCACGCAAGGAGGAAACAGTTATTAGTTTATGCATTTGAGCATAGATAGTCTTATTCATGCAGTATGAGACAAATTTATATGTTATTGAGAATATAATACACGTTTCTGGCAATCGTATGACATATATTAAAGCAAGAAATTTTGTTTTGTAGTTCACAGATTCTCTATTTATAGTTGTATTAAAGGGAGACAAAATGCTTTTATTAGATAGATAATAAATGTAATATTTATAAATGCGAGACATGTCAACACAACAATCATCAACACAAAGCAATAGGCACACATCAATATCAATACAAAGATAACAATCGTATTTAAATAATAATTTTGGGTAACCTAGTCAATTGTCCTTGAATAATTGTTGTATTTGTTGTTCACTTCTAATTTGAATAACTGGAGAGTTTTCATCCTTTCTCACATAAATTCTCCCAAATGACGTCCAACAAAATTTAAACGGTTTGGATTTCACCAGGTCACGTGCAAGGAAATACAGCCGTGCTGCCTTTACGGTCAGCTGTTCGCTGACAAAAATGGGATTAGTTCATCTGTTACCTTATAACTGCGAAACTACTCATCGTAACTTGACAAATGAGATATCATTGGAAGTGCCTTAGTTGACCGCGTGCTAAAGGCTATGTGACGTTACATAAAATTGAAAACAGCGCTCTCTAGAAAGCATAACCTAAAAAACATAAAAGTATAGGGTATCAAATGAAAATACAAACCTTGAATCTGAGTGTTCCTAGTGGGGGCTTAGCATATGGTATACCCTGGAAACTGTAGAAGCCCTTGCCGGATGGACTGTTTACAGTTTTGCCCTGCAGCTGGCCCTGTTCCACCGTCACTATTGGGGCCTCCGTCATTCTGCCGCCGCTGCAATAGAAAAGAAACTTTATCATTGAAATGTTAACCCCCAAAATCCTGGTAGGCCTCGACAATTCCTCAATTTTAGTGCCAAAATACATTTATAAACAAATTTCACAGATGTAGATGATATTTTTCCGCTATTAAGTATTTCAGCTTTGACCCGAATGATTGTCGTTGAAATCAACAATACTTGAATCCTTTTAAGAGATGCACGAGGTAAGTGAAATCCGATGGAATGCCGTATACGTCTAAGGAAGATTTAGAAATAAAGGGAGCCTCATGGATATGTTTTTTCGCTCCACTCATTGTAAAGAAGTAACTGATTTTAGAGCAGAAACTTTTTGGCAAGCATTTGAAGGAAAGTAGTAAAGAAGCTCTGTGGCATACTGCCGTTTCCATTTATCAGTCAAAATTAAAACAATTTACATGGCCACACGAAAATACCGTACGTTTGTTAAGCACATTTCGCATGGGCCGGTACTAGGATGGGTGACCGAAAATTTACTGTCTCAAGCTCTTCTATGCTTCGGAAGGCACGTTAAGTCAGAAGGCCCGGCTGCATCTGCAGTCTGACAACCACCAATCTACTCTGAGTCCGCTTGGTGGGTCATATACTCAGAGCGCTTAGTGTAAGTTTTTTTGACGTTTATGTTCACTGTCGATAGTGAGCGCATTAAGATTTTAGTATGGAATCCGGTACAGCGCCCCTAGCGGTAACTATCAAGAACTACAAATCTCCATACAAATTCTTAACGCACTCACTAGTGAACGCGTCAGCGTAAAACTTACACTTACCACTCTGGTAATGGTGAACTCTCTCTATTTGATCCCATCCATCCATCAGGAAAACATGTGCCTCAGCAGTATATCATGATATTAACAGGCAGATGATGACAAAAAAATTACAAAATATATATACCCATTTTTAAATACATTCTAAATTTTTATCAATAAAGTCTTAGAAAAGAAAGCGAATTATTATAATAAGTAAAAAGCGTCACCCATCCGTATAACAACTCCACAGAAAAAGCTTTAGCATTAATATTCTGTTTTAACTATTAATTACAATCCAACATATAAGATAGTACAGTCAGATAAAAACTGTAGTTATCACAAAAATGTTAAAAACACCAACTATTATTTAATCTCTTAATGACATTATATTAATATGTAATATTTATCAGATATCTGTGGAATTTACAATTCAGAAAGACAGTCAATAATAATATTAAAAAACAATTCATTCATTCAGTATAATTTATTCACTCTAGGCTGTTACAAGCACACCTGAAATTCTAATCATGCCACCATTATAAAAATAAACTAAGAATGACGTTGGAGGTATTGCTGAACCACACTACGCAGGATATTCATTTCGGGTTATGGAAATTCTGTCAGTATATAGTGCAAATTGGATATTATCGACGTCTCGCTCTAACACGGCTACTGTCTCAGATAGGGTTGCAACCTTACTTAATTAGAAATCCTGACTGTTTTGTACTAGGCCGGACATTTTGTCCGAAAACTAGACTTCATGTTTTTAACCAATCTGTTACAAATTGTTATTGACTGACTTCAAAATCCAAAAGAAGGAGGTTATATTTTAATGTAATTATCATTTTAGATTTAAGCAAACGCGTAACAAAGGGCATACAAGTCGGACATATAATTATTTAGCCGAACAACCTAGAAAAAACAAATATGTCCGGTTAAGACCCGACAGATGGCAACCCTACTCTCAGATCACTATGATGCACAGTAGCCACTTTCCATCAAACGCAATCAACGTGTTTATCTAGTTTTTATTATACACAATGATGAATAACAGAATACTTTCCTTTTCTTTAAATACGAGAAATTTCATCTAATTAAAATATATTTCAACAGCGCTCAATTAATGAGTAACTTCGTTGAGAACGTTTTATACATCAAAACTCCGTTACTTGCAGAGCAATTAAAACGTCTCAAAGGTGCGTCCATTCTTAAGCCGGGTATACATTATTTTTCTTTTAAGGTATTTTTAGAAATTATACTGAACAACATATTTGGCAAATATTAATGTGTTACAATTTATTTGGCATGCCAAAATGTAGTTGCTTATTAGATTTGAAGAAGTCAAGATTTAAAAAACTATTCACCAAATATATGAAATTGACTTTACTAATATTACAAATAGGTAGTTTCTATTTAACTTTGTTTGTTTGTATTATGTAATCTTTGGAATCATTGAGCAGATTATGAAAATTCTTTCACCAATTTGTATAGGCTAGTATAATTTATACTGGGTAAACATCTATCATAAATGAAATTATTATTACGCGACAACAAACTTTACTAACTAGCCAAATAACCATAAATATAGTGCGTGGGAATGTCGTGTATACACATATCTTAAGGAACACAATGCCGCACAACCATGGCACAATGTACACACGGCAGCATATCAGCTATGCTATACAGGGCTGTCACAACACGAAGGTTCAATAAAACCTTTATTACTATTTGAAGTAGGTTTAATTTGATTGAACTTCCATGATGATGAGCCAGGACTGCACTCATCGCCGAATGCGAAGTAGATTTTATTACAGCACCGTTTATTACAGTAAAAAAAAAACTAAAATTTACTGCAGGAATTTCACACGTTTTCTTTACTGACCTGTGAACCTGTAAAAATCCAAACCAGAATTCGAATTACTCAAGTAAAAAATGGAATCAGAATTTCTTCACTAAATGACCTGAATTCGAATTCGGGTCTGGATTTATATACACTCGCAGAGCTGATGCGCAGAAAATGCAGGTTCAACCGGAGACGAAATATAAAACTGTAGATAGGTATTTATAAAAAAAAAATATTTTATATCTTCATAAAAGTACAGCACGTGTAGGTAATCTAGCACAGGAGTTCCCTTTTAAAACTTAATAACTATTACGTATTTAATAAAATTTAACAGTCAGACAAAAAGAAAACGATTGCCCTATTATATTAAAAAATTTGAAAGATACCTGTTGACATATATTTTATTTAGAAGTTTAACTTCTTCTTATATTTTCAGGTTACACTATAAAGTATGTTTTCTTCTTCTACAAATTTAAGCCAAAAATAGTTCCTATCACTTGAAACGATACAGTCAAATGCTTAAGAAATGAAACAGAATGAATGACCTTTGATTATAAAAAATATAATAACTCACCCAATAATATGTGATTCTATGTATATCACAAATCAACTGAATGACAAAAATGAGTGTACATGCTTCCTCACGGTATCTGATAGCACGATAAGATATTCACCTTGATGTACCAGTGTTCCGTAAGATGAGTAATAAATAACCAATATGAGTACTGTATTTATTGTGCTTAGATTTAACTATTTCGGTAAAAAGGTATATACTATTAAAGAATAGTAAAGTTTCTTACTTTGTTTATAGGGGGTATTATTCTTCGGATATACGGAACCGATTATGACAATTCTTTCTCCTTCGGGAAGCTATTTTATACGCGGACGAAATATGCTATAATTCAAGCGGTTCAAAAACCTTAAATGATGATAATTATTTTGTCATATATAATCTATAGAAACACATGTACTCTTGAGCGTAAAACAAAGTATAAATTCTATTTAAAAAAATGTGACAAACATAATTTGTGTACAATTAAATATTTAGGTAAAGTATTCAATTTATAAAGCCAATATTGTTTCAAATAAAATTTACAAGAATAAATCAAAATTTTATTGATACCAAGGATATAAATAAACCCACTTATGACATCATGGGCGAGGGTACGGTGTGAATCGTATCGGAGACAGGTACTGGAGCAGAAATCTTCCTCTCTACTCTAACATTACGAAAAGAAAACCAAACATAAATACCTATTTCGAGACGGCAACACTTATCCCAATGTAGATGTCTGAACAATGTAAGGTACCAACGTAGTTAAAAATCAAAAACAATATTTTTCGTTTTTCAATCACATTTAGTATAAGACAGGCTGTCAATTCATGCCATGGGAGTTTTACCAATAATAATATATACCAAGTACGTAATTTTACCGTGACCTCTTAAGAGGCGGTTAAAGCAAATCGCTTAAACAAAATTGATTGATTGAAAAGATTTTAAGCAAAACAAAAAACAATGAAAACTATTAAAAATTAAGTAAATAGTACATAATCCTTATACCATAAATATCTCGCTGTTTGAGATCTCTATGCTATTATGAAATCGTCAATAAAATATGAAAATAGCTATATTTTTGTTTCGAAAATTTTAAGGTAATGGAAATAACCGTATGAAAACTCTTTAAATATATTCAATTAACGCTATTAAAATTATGATGATTCCTGGTGCAATAATCACTCTATTGGTCAAAAAATATTTTATATTGCTAGCTGTTTTCCCACGCGACTTCCTTGATGATGTAGCTTCCCGTGGGTGAAAGATTTTTCAAAACCGATTCAGTAGTTCCGGAGTCTATTCTTTGCAAACAAACAGACAAATCTTGCCTCTTTATAATAGTAGTAGATATGAGGAAGAAGTTCAAAATAGGCACTACGAATATAATGGATGGCGGTATTAAATTATACACATTTCAGTCAATTCTTGAGAGGAAACAACTAACTCAAAATTAATGAGAGCTTTAAGAGTAAATTTGCCGTTAATTTACACTTACAATACAAAGTATAATTAAAATTGATATCCAAAAAAAAAGAAAAAAAAACGAAACTTAGACGAAACACAAAAAACTACAAAGTAACGATCACAGGTAACGATGAATGATGTTTAATTTTGGAGCTTCTTTCCTTTTTAATGCTTCTCATTGTAGATAAAAAAATGTTGCCAGTTAATGTACACCATCAATTAGAAACCAACATCGACAAATTAGTATGTAGCCAAGAAAATATACACTACTAGAAAAGTAACTCGAATATATCATGTCTGTGGTATAAAAACTTACCAAAATCTCATATCAAAACGTGTAAAATAGTTCCTCGAAGTCGTATCCAAGTT